GTGAACGGAGAGTCGTCCTCAATTAGGCGAGAGTCTCGAAGACGAAACGAGCGAGAGCATTCGAGCTTCAGTCTATAGCGTTTAAGCGCGTGGGCAATAGTGATATACAATAGCCGTGAGCAAAACGTGTTATCAACTTTTTGTAGCAGAAAGGCGGCACCCGTCGAGCTGCATCGAGGATCTCCGGATTGAGGTGCCATTAAAAGCGCAAAGTGTGACAGATAGACCATTAAATGTTCATTTTGTCAAGTCGACCGAAGTTCATTCCACTGCGATTATACGTTCGCGATGCGTCTCCGTTACGTTTTCCGTCATTTATCCGAGAGCTATTATTCTGCTATCTAAAGCTGCATATCGGAGGATACGCGACACTCCGGGAAACGGCAGCGAAGGGTTTCCGAGATCCGGAGAAAGGGACGTGAAGAGAAAGGTAAGTGACATCTCGACGTGATTTACATACGCATATGATGGATAATGTCCTTTACAACATACGTTTTATTCGTTTTATTTACAATCATAATTTACAGCTATAAAAAAATCTAGACGGTACGGTTGTTAATCAATACGTTGTGGGAAGCATTGTTAAAATTGCATATATAAGTTGTGTGACAAAATACAGGTTGTAACAGTAATCTATCTTAGGCGAAAATTAGGTTCGCTAGTGTAACACACTCGCTAAGTCTCCCGCTGCTAAAACATTTTATTACCCTTTCTACAAATGTCTAAAAAATAGTGCGGTTTCTCGCGGAATATCCGATATCGATTTTACAATTAACCCCCTTTCACAATTGTCATCTGAAGTCGAAAACACTGGCGGATTCATGAAGGAAGGCCACCTCTCCTTGGAATCTTTTTTTTTAAATATGCAACAAAATTATTTACATATTATATATGTATGTTTAATATTTTTGAAATATTTAATCACAATTTTGATATTCTAAAAATTTTTTAATTTAAGAAACTCTTAGATATTAAAAACATAGATTCTATTACATTATTCTCTCCTTTCGTATTAATATAATTTTAAATAAAACGTTTTATAAATTATATATATATTTAAATAATATTTTTTTCAATGTATAATCATTTTTATAATAATTTAACGTTCTGTTTTTTCATATTTGATCTTAAAAAAAAATTCGTTTGCGCGTCAATGGCCTTTATTCACATTTCTAGATCCGCCAATGTAAGAAAAGTATGAAGATTATAAAAATGTTAGATGTATATAATATTAATATATATTAGACATGATTTATGGAATTTATGAAATGTGACAGCCAATTTCCGATAATATTGAGAAAAAGTTGAAGTAAGAAAAGGCACCGATTGTGTCAATCATGATTAACGGGTCTTCTCGCGGTCGATTAAGAATTAATTGAAACAATTAGAGATGTAGAATTCATATGGAATTTTCGAGTCACTTTTAAAATATCCATAAAAAGGATAATATCATCATTATAACAGATTAGTCAAATCGCTATACCGACTGTCGCTACTGTTGCTGCTGCTGTTGTTGCTGCTGCGTGGGACTGCTGATGGTCTCCATTTTCTGCTCGTTCTCCCGATTCGGCGAGTCCTGCTTCATCTTTTCCTCGTCGCCATCCTTCGCTGGTGGTCCCAATAATGTGTTCAGCAAGCCTTGCACAAAGCATACTGCATTATTAATATCGTTTTACTATAACATCTTATAGCCCTAGCAGAAAAAAAATGAAACGCTCCACAAGTTGACCTTTTATATCTAACAAAAAATAAATTAAAAACAATTTTATTAAAAATAATGTTTATTTTTATAAAAATTTTGATATTTTGTTGTCCTTTGCTTTTATTATCGTGGATTTTTTTTTCCCCCAAGAAAATGCAATAAATTGAGGGTGTTTTATATTTATGGCCAAGACTGTACGTTATAATGCAATTAATTGGTCGAATTATTAATTATTGATCGAAATTAGTTTACTTACCAATGTTCTCTCCTTTAAATGAGGTTCCTAGCAAAAAGAAATTGATTAGAATACAATCCCTTTAAAAATTCGACTTGAGTCTAAAAGAGATTCGCGTTCTAATCGGTTGGAATTAAAAACTACTCCGAAAGAACCAAACTTTCGACGACGGTCTACTATCGAGAGAACAAATAGTTTCGACTGTGTCGCAAAATTGATCTCGGGCGGACAAATTTTACTCACCGTTACCGCGATACTTATTCAGCTGCTGGTACACCTGTTTCATCCGCTCGATGTTGATGCGCGAGCTCTTGCTGTGGTTCACCATCGGCAACGAATATTCCTTGCCGATGATGCACTTGGCAGCGTGCTGTATACTGAGCGGCGCGTTCCAGGGTTCGTGAATGTACCTGGTCGGGAAGTTCTTCAACACCGGCAGATAACGTCTGCTCGTGGGAATAAAATTGATTTTATCTTGAAACAATAATCCCTTATATATCGTTCATTTGCTACAACAAGGACATAACTCAAAAATTCGATGTTTTAACTGCTTATAAAAAAATGGAAATAAAAGAAAAAAGAAAAATATACTTTAAAAATACCTACATCTTTTTATTTCTCTATAATCAATTATTATCAGCTATAATCAAAATTGCATTTCAAAATTAAAATTATAAAATCTTAATAATTCAAATCATTCAAACTTAGTTCGAATAACTCCGCTTTTTACTTGTATAGTAAATGAGCGACATAAACTCTACATATTCAAGGAAAGAACGATTTCGTTGAAGTATCGGAAAATTTAACTAGACAGAGAAAGTAATTTTGTTAAACTATCAAAATAATTATGTAGGACGCTCAAGCATAATAAGCAATGTGTTTGAAATGTTACAAAAAGTTTTGACAGTTTAGCAACCAGTGTCCTACATAACTATTTTGATGGTTTAATAAAATTATTTTTAGATCTGTCAATTTAGCTAAAAAACCGCGCATAATTATATGGAAAATTGGATCCCGGAAATGACTTAGTTTTCACATACATGATGTTGCTTATAATGTGTGAACAAAAAAGTCATAGATACAAGACTTAATAATGAATAATTTTTTATTGTGTATCAAAGATTGGTGTAATATAAAACTTAAAAGATATAAAACTTGTCCTCTCATAGAGCACCTTTAATACATCATAGCTTAAAAGTCATCCATTATTGAGCCTTGTGTCTACGATATCTTTTTTTTACCATATTACAAGCTACATTATATGTAAAGACCAACGACATATATACATAAACCAAACATTGGTCCGTAGTTTGAAACCGGAAGATGGCAGTTTAATCTACAATACATGCATGGAGTAAAAAGTAAGAATAAAAAATTGACCAATCACAGTCGAATGTGAGAAGAATAATCGACTGTGATCGCTCAATTTCTTACTCTTACTTTTTACTCCGTGTATTGTAGACGACGCATTATAGGGTCTGTGCATCCATTACGTTTCTTTCTATCACGAGAGAGAGGAATGCTTTGTCAGTTCTTGACAGTTGCAGGTGTGAGATAAAGTGAGATAGCACGGATGCTTAACGACCATTTAAATTGCCAATTTCCGGCTTCATCCACCATTGAAAAACATGGGAATACTTGGTCCATATAATATATACGTCATTAGTAACTAACTTATTTCACCGGGATCTAATTTTTCATACAATTAGTACTACTAATTATATGGTTTATTACAATGATTATAGGATCCACTAATTATATGGCCAATTGGATCCCAGTGGAATGTGAATTAGTTTTCTGAACGTTGTGTCAATCATCGTTTCGTCACAATAATCTTTTGCACGATTAAGCTTTAATGGAGCTAAGCTGTTTAATGTTCCATCTATCTTGCGGCTGAATTTCGTCTCGCTCAGATTAACGCCTGATACGTTACAAATTAAGATCAATCAAGATTAAAATTTCCATTAATCTGCCCATCGCGTGAGCGTTAATCACTGTACCAATACCATCGTGCACGCGATCGTTAGCGTAAATGTTATTTCGGATGGAAAAAACATTGATAAACGCGCCAGTCGAAATTTTTTCTGGAATTTATCACGCATCACATCGCGCTCTCGCGGTTTTTTTAAAACAATTTAAAAAAATACTTTTTTAATCGATTACCTGATATAGTCGCCGTTCGGATCCGCTTTCCTGCCGAATCGTACGGGACAGTAGCAGTGGAAAAATTGTTGGAAAAACGAACTACACGATAACCACATCCACATGCCGGCATTGACGGACCAATCGGCGTCTAAGAGAAGCTCGTCGAACACCTCAAAGGAAGACATTAGATCCAATGTGAAATAGTAAAATAGCTAGTAAATCAGCGAATATAATTTCGAATTTATTTAATATTAGCATCTATCTGCTCTCTAAAACTTTTAGAGTGAATTATTACTCTGAAGAGTAAAATCTTTTTCAAGACTGGCTCAATTTCCACTCTTTAGAGCGAGAGTTCACTCCAAAGAATTTAGAGAGTATCTTAACGTCGCTTAACGCTTTTTACACATAACTAAATAAACGTTTCATTAACTTTGTCTTCTACTTCAGCGAATAAAATAAGCTCTGAGTTATTTGTACAGTTATTCTCTGCAGAACGAATAGTTTATTTATTTATTTTTTAACTGGAGAGATATATTACATTAGATGCGCCGCACGTATTTCCAAGAAAAGGATCTCGCAACAAGAAATATTCTTACGAAGTCTGTATATTAATGATAAGAACAAACGAATAAGGGAAATAGAGAGAGAATAATTCAACGCGTGTCGATTGAAATGCCAGGCATGCCGTGACATTTTACCTTCATTCCTTCCTCCCATGAGATCCAAAGGTCGCCCCTGGTCAAGAAGCAAGCCACCGCGTGTCTGGCCAGATGATGTATCCAACCCTCTTCCCGTAACTGCGTCATGATTGCATCAATCCATGGAAATCCCGTCTGACCCTGGAACAGACGAAAAGTTTATTACCGTTATAAAAGCAAAAGTTCCTTGGTCGCGGATTGAATATTTTTAAAATGTATTAAAATAATTATAAATTCTTAAAATTAAGGGAGAAAAGTGGATCTAAGTACAAAAGAAATAAATGTCCTGCCGTTATAGGAAAAAAAGTGCAAAATAAATGAAGTTCCCAAACCCGTGGTGAAAACAAAAATCAGAGCGTAAGTCGAATGTAAAATGAGAGTAATAGAAGCGTAAACGAAGTTTCTAGGAGACAAAAATTGAAACAAGGAGACGTAACTTGTTTCGATCTTTGCCTCTTAGAAATTTCGTTTACGCTTCTGTTATTCTCCCCTTGCATTCGACTTACGATTCTCATTTTCGCCAGGGTAGTGTTGCAAGTGCGGTTATATCCATCAATCATATTATAAATTTTTCAGTCGCAAAGCTAGTCTAGTGCATTCTATTTTAGTGTAACCAGAAATTATATATTTCTCCATGCCATATTATACATGTTTTGTTAGTAAAAATTGAATTTTTCGTAATTGAAAAAAATTTTTTATCGATAGTTTCGATAGTAAAAATTATATATAAATTTTTTTGCTCTCACCAAAAAAAAATTTCAAGTGGAAATAACGATTGACTTTTACCAATGGGCTGCACAAATATTTTTCGTGTATATATATATGTATATATATATATTTATATATATTTACTCTCATAAATTCATAGAATTAAAAATATGGTAATTATTGTAATATTGTACTTTTTTTATTGTTAGATTTTTTTATTTAATCGCATTGTAATACGAGTAAAATAACGGAGCAAATTGGCCTCTGTCTGTGTGCAAAATATCACTCACGTTCGCCCACTTTGCGAGTGCCTCCACGTTCTTGTCCCACGGTATCTGCACGCAAATCGGATTGCCCTGCATTTTGTCGAAATTCGGATTCTTCGTCGCTGCACAGTAAAAGAATTCGCGCCAAAGAAGTTGTCCGTGCAACGACAACGGCGGCACCGCTTTCTTTATCTGAAACAATATTATTGAAAAAATAATAAACAGTATTATAACAGTATTAATAAGCAGGCTGAGCTAATCATTCATTTCTAAAATTATCAAAAGGCGAAGTCAATTGATAAAATGATAAAGGTAAAAGGTAGTTGTTTTAAGACAAAGGATAGGCTACAACAGATGAAAAATTTCATTGTTTATAGTACAGTAAATGCAAAAAATATTCATACATTTATAAAAAAACATTATATATTTATGTAGAAAATAAACATTAATTAACAATTTATTAACATTAAGTATATTTTGTCCTAAATAAACAAAAGAGCTTCGCGAAAATAATCGTGTTCAAATCTTACAATTAGAAATAAATTTCTCGACTGTACGAATATTTTTTGTGTCCAAATAATGCAATTTTTCATTTTTATTTAATAAGATAATGTATTTTAATTATTATACATCTTTTTATATAAAATAATTTTTAAAAATATACTCTCTAAATTTTTTGGAATGGAATTTCACTCTAAAGGGTGAAAATTGAGCCAATCATAAAAAAAAGAGTAGCTCAATTTTCAATCTTTAAAAGTGAGATTTCATTCTTTAGAATAAATCTCACTATAAAAGTTTTAGAGACTACAATATTTTATTCTTTCTTAATAAATTGCTAATTAATGTTTACTTTTTAAAAATAAAAAAATATAGAGGAGATATTTCAAAAAAAGTTCTTTTTAGATATCTACTGTATATTTTTTACACTCACTGTATATAATATTCACTAAGAAACAATGAGAACATTATACTCTCATAATCACGAACTTGTACGGAACAGCTTTCGCGACTTTTTGTAGAAATAAAAATCTCGCGGCGCAATTAACGCCTCCCCGAAGTTTCATTTAATTATTACCGCGAAATTTCCGGGCGAAAAGGAGAAGAAGAGGAGAAACTTGCGAGAAGTTTCCGCGATAAATTTTGTGCGCGATAGATACATCTCGCATCGTCATTTTCATGAACAATTCCGCTCGTGGAAAAACATCTCGTACCTTTTTGTATAGATCGGTGAGTTGATAATAAAACAACCGCGTACTGAGACAACCGAATCTTAGATAAGGTGAGAGCCCAGTCTGACTCGGTAATAAGGATTGAGGTGTCATTTTCGGTCTGCCGAAGCTCGCTACCCATGCCTTCCTCTCGAGGTGACGTTCGAGCCTAGCCAGGGCCTCGCTTTCACCACCGACCCACACCGGTGGCAGCAGACTTTCCGTATCGAAGCCTATAATCAGAAAAAACCGGGGAGTTTGTATAGAAAAAGTTATATTCCCATCGAATAATTTCTCGGTTAGCAACACGACTCGGGATTTTATTATCTGTTCCTGTACTCGATATTTTATTATCTTCATTCTCTCATTTCTGAAGATTCGTGCAGCGAAATTTCTGATTGAAAATGAACGAACCAGAAGATTCATATCAATTAGAATTCTGATTATCCCGACTAGAATTATAAAACCAGAAAATTCTAATTTATTAAGCTATACCTTCAGCAGAATTAAATTTAATAGCATGCTTATTTTTGTTTTCCTTTTAACCCCTTCAGACCTGATTTTAATGAAACTATGTTTAAACAAATTTTTTTAACTCAATTTAAAGGCATTTTAATAAATAAATAATTTATAGCAAAAAATTAATTTTTTTCAAAATTTTGACTATTTTTCCAACATACACATTATTACATATGGTATATATCTGCACTGAAAAAAAGATTGGCTGCTGCAGTAAA